CTCTGTGCTCACTGAAAATCAGATCTTAAGGGGCGGGGCCTACCAGCATGATTTGTGACATCATTAATAGTTTGGAAGTCACTTTACAGTGTCCAGCAGGAAAACTTTAGAAATGAACACAATTAGCATATTCATAGATTCTGCCATATTTAATGAGGAGTTTAATGTGGAAATTATACTTTCTTTGCATTTTAGACATACATTATTCTTCCAAGCAGACTATGGAGGGGAGCTCAGTCCCCCATTCGATTCTGAATGCCAGTAGCTTTTGTCAATAACTTAAAGACAATAATCCCTGTCAGTGGATATGCCGACCCTTGTCCCATAAGACCAATACCTCAGTGAAGGCATAGAAAAACCTTTAGACTACATTTTAAAATGTAGTCTAAAAAATATAAAAAACCTTGGGAGAGAGCCTCTGGTAAGAAATAATGTTGGGACAGAACAACAAATGCAATGACATTGACATAAAGAACAAAGATAAACACCTACTCAACTTTTTCTTGTGCCAAAGGCTATCTGTCTGCCAAATGTGTTGCAGCTTTACGATCCACTGACCTAGAAACATACAGATGGTATCACTGGCAGAGGTTTGGGTTCATTGAGAAAAGCTTGGCTGCCATCTACTGGGACTCTGCCCCCTATATTCCACTGATATGGTTGAGCTGTAAGCAGAGCTTGTTTTAATCATCCTGCAGCCAATAAAATTAATATATATGTAAAGACCCTTGTTTTACATTCAATCCTAAAGATTCCAAATGTGTGAGGATTTTACGGCAATGTGAAATATTTCCACAATATTACAGCCAAAGAAAATCATGGCATCCTGAGTTTGAATATTTCACTGCAGGTAAACATGATGTAAATGCAATTAGGTGTTAGAACAAGCAGATTTAATATATATGACTATTGCTTTAAAAAATCTCATTTCTTTTACAGTTTAAGAATTACAAAAATAAAAATAAAATGTTCTCTATTTAAAACTCCATCCGAAGTAAGTTAAAAATATATTGTCCTTGTGGAATGTGTGAACTATTTCTTTTCATTTTTAGTTTAAAGCAATTTTTCAATTAAACTAGGGGGGCGTACACTCTACAATTACAATTAAAACATATGGTGGGTAGTTTATGGCTGATCCCAGTATTTGAAGACTTAAATTTACCCCTTACTCTTGATGATAGCACATTTTTCATGTGAAATAACAAAATAAAATGTAACATTTCTGTAAGGGTGAACTGAAATTTCATATTTCATATTATTACTGATGCACCAATGTGCCACTTTCCTGTTGTAGATGGGTGAGGTGGAGCTGGGTAGTTTAATCTGTAACACAATCTCATATTTTATGAACTCATCATATGTCTTTTATGTAAAATCTTAATGTGAAAACTACTATTGCTGTTCAATATGGTGAAGTATAAAGTGCAATACGTCCCTTTGAAGTGAACCATAAAACGGAAATCCTCAGGTAAAGTACTAACGGTACTTGAGTAAATGTGAGCTACTTAGTTACTTTCCACCACTGCTAATATTCATGTGCAATAGTATGTTTCCATTTTTCTAGCTCTCTACGTAATTTCCCGCGCTTTAGTGATTCACTATCAGCTAATAGGAACAACGCAATCTCTTTCCGGTGTCTATTCCATCCAATAGGCGATAAGAACCCGTGTGAGCCAATGGCGTGCGTTTGAGACTGGTCTCTGGTTCGATGAATGGCGCGTAGAGTTGATAAGTCGAGCCAATGGGACGATAGCAGCATTGTGTGACCGAAGCAGGCCAGGGTCTGCCGGGCTCATTTCGCCGCTTCTCCACCCGGCTGGTCTTTTTGGATCTCACTGCAATGGCGGAACAGCAGCAGTTCTACCTCTTGCTGGGCAACCTGATGAGCCCTGACAACAACGTCAGGAAACAAGCGGAGGTGAGAGACGAAAACGTCGCTGTTGTCACGGGCGACAAGTTCGGCGAGTGTAGAAAGCAGGGCGGCCAGGTTAGCACGAGATAGCATCCTAGCTGCCCCGTGTGGCCGCGCGCGCAGTGAGCTTTCACGTCAAGCTCGGCAGCCCACGTGCAATGTGAAGCCGACAGCGAGTACTGGTCTGCTAACGCTAACTACCTCCATGTTGCGTAGTTGTGTGGCCATAATGTAGGTCCTATTGATACGAACCGAGTCGTGACACAGTGTGGCTGTAGCTACGTGTTTGTGTTTCTTTGTGTCACGCTCAGTCGGTTTGATTCAAGGTGAAATGTTCCGATTGTTGGGTGCCAATCCTACATTATCCAGCTGACAGTGTGGCTAGTCACCGAGCTAGTGGAGTGCAGGACGTAGCACGAAGCTAAGGAGCTACCACAGTGTTGCTAGTTTCATTAGCTGGCGAGCTAACGTCGAGCAGAGTGGGTTGCTCAAAGACTGAGAACGTAAATTCAGACATTAACTGCTGACATACATATTGCGTTATATGTGCAATGTTGGGCGACAATGGGTTTACGTTATGGAGTTGGGGAGCCAGTTCATTCAGAGGGGCGAGCTATGTTAGCAGTGCTCGTGGAAAGGCCTTCAGTCATTTTATCTGAAAGTCTGTTAAACCCAGTTGTTTCTAAACGTGCCGTCGCCTTCCTTGTTTGCTCTAATGTTGCTAATGAAGCAAATTATCTCGCTTTCAGCCACGTCACTACACGGTCTCGTCTCAGGTCATCCCCTCTCTGGATTAGTTTCCCTCAGAGGATTTGTTTGGGCTCAGTCTAGCTGGCCTATTCACTTTTTTCCCACCATGATTAGCCTCTTGTCGCGGCAAGGCATTGTTACCACGGTTTAGCTAACTCTTTAGCACCCGACTTTTGGATGAGGTGGTTGAATCTTATCACACTCCCTCCTCACTGGCAGTCAGCGTTTCCCTTTGTAAAGCACAGACTGTGTGCCGCGATGCTAAGCTCATTGGAATTCATCCTTTATAGACCCCCCCCAACCCCCCTTTCTGTCTTACAAAGACAATAGGAATCAATCCATCTATGGAGGACTTTAAACCCATATTTTAACAGCTACAGTCTACAGCTACCAAACATTTGTAGGTGTCCAGACCAAGTTTTTCCCCATTGGGGACATGATGAGAGGGCTGGCAATGAAGTACAATACTGTTGCAGTCTTAAAGTGAAAGTACCATCACTGTCTTGGGTGTGAGGTTCTGGTGGTTGGTGTTTTGGCTGTTTGAGACTGAGCCACTGACCGCCCGAGGAACCTGAGTATTGTGAGCAATCTGTTTTAAAGCCTGTGTGTTCACATGCAGTGTCATGTTAATAGTTTGTCACTCTAAACATTCAGTTTCTATTTAAATGCATATCATTAATCTGGTTTCTCCCCCACCATATTGTTGCCACAGTGAAACTCCTCCCTGTCCTGCTTCTTTGTCATGCCAATTTGTGCACTTAAAAACACACAAGAAATCCAGTCAAGGGCTTTTTACGGGCACATAATGTTTCTCTACCTGGAGATCTGGTGATGTAAACTGTTCCTCCCAATCATTTCACCTAATGCATTACACCAAGTTATTTGACTAGTAGCACCACTGGCATATGATCGTATGTGATATTTTTCTTAGAGCACACGCCCAAGGTCCAAAGCATCCCCAAAGAGAATCATGTGTTTGCATTTCTCATGTGGCTTTAATGAAGCAGTTTAAGAACACTGGAGACGAAAACAAATGTGTAGCGCACACAACAGCCAGCCTTGTTTATGTTAAATCCCCCCTCGGTGAAATTCATGTCTCATGATGCAGGAATGACACTGTAAAAGTTATCTATAAAGGTATAAAGCTTTTAAGTGTACATGCGTCCTACTTCTTCTTTTACTGCTGAATAGAGTATTTGGCCTGCAGGGTGGACAGATTACAATACAGGCTTTTGGGGCTAATTCTACAGACATGCTGTAAACATCCAATTATAAACATGTTTTTGAGTAGCCACACCCATCATAGTAGTTAATCCGTAAGAATAATAAAATGATGAACTTTTTTAGTTTGAAATGTGCCATAGTGTGGAATTATTGCCATGTGCAAAACGCCATTACTTTGTGACTGCAACAAAGTGAACATGACACTCTCTCTGGTAGAGATTCATTTTTCACGGGGCTAAAAATGTGCGTGTGTGTGGGGCTTGTATCTGTAAGCATGCACCGAATGGCATGTCTCATTCTTACCACTGTCCATTCATTTTTTTTTTTTTTTTTGCAGGAGACTTATGACACCATCCCGGGTCAGAACAAGATCACATTCTTGCTGCAGGCCATCAGAGATGCATCTGCTGCAGAGGAGGTTTGTACATGTTTGCCGAAGTATCTGTGGAATGACAGGTCTAGTTCTTTTAGCCTGAGTCAGAAGCAAGCTACAGAACATATTTGTCCCATGGTTAGCCTTTAATGTGCTTTGTGCCTCACTTGAAAGGGCAATCAAATGTTCCTTGTTTGAGATGTCTCAAAAGTTGAACAGTATTATCCCTAGCCTTGGCTAAAAAGCCTTGTTGTTCCGGGAAAGGAAGAGCATTTTAGGTCGTAAGCATTCATACTGTAAGTGTTGGAAGGTCTGGCAGAGTTCATGTGATTTTTACATCATGTCCACAATGAGAATGGTGCCCACGTAACTGCAACATCTTTAAAAAGGTGCCACATTGATGGCATTTTAGGAATGTAGTGTGGCCATCACACGTGGGCCTTCACCACAGCCTGACACGGAGGCTCGTTATGAGTCAGTTTTGACATTTGGGCAGTTATGTTTACTCCGAGTCCACCAGCTGCTTGGTCCCTCACGCTTCCTCTCCTTTTCTCTACCTCAAGGCTGATATTTTTAGAGTCCTGAAATGGGAGCAGACAGAGAGGTGCGTGGCCCAGGGAGAGTGACTCTGCCTTTCTGGGATGCTGCAATTTTTGCCAGTGTAGTTTTATATTCTTTAGTGACCATTGATGCGAATTAAGCATTGAAGTTCTTAATGTTCCTGTACATGTTTGGAAGCTGCAGTCATTCTGCTTATACTGCACGCTTATTGATATTCATGTGTCATTTATGGTCGAGGCAGATGACCACCCACCTACATATAAGGAGTTCGGTCTACACCTGCT